TCGAATAACATTTTTTTCCCAACCATTTGAGACTGAGTTGCCAAAATGATATTTTATCACTCTTGTTTACTTTAGGATAGCCTATACACAAGAACATTCTCTTATATAAACACAACACAACTGTCAAAACCAGGAAATTTACATGATTCTGTACTAGCTGCTTGTGTTATAAAAGCCATTATTGGGACAACTGGTAAAACATGAATGGGATCCAGGAATTAAATAGCACTAATATATCAATCTTATATTCAAGGTTACTAATTCTCTTTGATCTATATCTACTATAGTCTTTAATATGATGAATTTTCAATTTTTACTGCATACAAAATTTTGAAATAACATGTAAAATTCAGTCATTTTAAACACTGACTTACTGCTGTCCTAAAATATTGTACCCTTTTTGTTACAGATCTTGGTGGAATGGGAGGGAAAACTAAAACATACATATCTAAAAATATTCTGTCAGCCTAAACCTATTTGTTCTTGGAAGTAAATATTTATACAGCATTTGAAATAATCTTAAGTGGAACAGTATCTGAGACAGATGAAAGGTAAGTTGCTCTGTTTGAAGCGTGAAAGAACCCTGAACCTACTCTCAGCCTCCCATCTCACCATCGTGCGTGAGGCATCTCCACAGAGCCCTGGGTTTCTCAGACCAGTTTTTAAGGTACATTGAGATAGGGAATACAGTATAGCACAGAAAATATTAACAAAGGGAAAAATGTTCAAGACACTTGACAACTTGAAGAATGGTTATAAATTGGGTACAAAGGACTTTCCAAAAGTTGACAGTTTATACTGGGTTCTTCTCTATAGAGAAAGAGCTAACCCTGTGAAAACTTATTTACTCACATAAAAGAGTTATTCCATATAGTAAGTATTAAAAGGCATGACTTGAGTCAGACTGGTTTTAGGTTCCAGTTTAATAATTCCTTTCTCTATATATTCTCTCTCGGTAATCTTATTTTATCTGAGGGTTTTAAGTGCCATCAATATGCCTTTCACTTCCAAATTTATATCTACCCTCTGCCCTGAATTCTAGATTCACATATCTGTCTGCCTACTTAAACATCTCCATTTAGATTTCTAACAGCACCAAAAATTTCTCTCTAAAACCTATTCACCCAGACCCTTCTCTATCTCAGTCAATGGCAACTCTGTCATTTCAGGTGAATCGGCCAAACATCTTAAGAGATGTCCCTAATTCCCTAATTTCTAATAAGCCCTATATCTGATCTATCAGCATATCCTGTTGACTCTGTCTTCAAAATATATGGAGCATCTCTGCACCTCCCCTTCTCTACACTGGATATGCCTCCATCCTATAATCCCTAAATAATTGGTGGCTATCTCCAAAGTTGACTCTTTGCTCCCTAACAATCTAACCTCAATAGGGGTAAGACTTTCAACATTTTAGTCAGGATCATGTTATATTTTGCCATCAGTTTCAGATGGAAAGTCAGAGTTCTTATGCAGACCTTGAAGGCTCTGTAGCATCTAGCTCCTATTACTTCTCTAAAGTACTCTTCACCAATTTCCATATTGCTCAGCCTGCTCTAACCATGCAGTTGTTCTTGTTGATCCTAGAACTTGCCAGGCATGGACCTATCTTAGGGCTGACCATCCCCTAGATATCCACAGACCAAAGGACTCACCTAAGTCTTTACTCAAATACCACATTTTAATGAGGCCCAATCTGGCCATGTTACATAAAATTAGAGACAACTCTAACTCTCAGTCTTGACACTTATTACTGAGCTCCATTTTTTTCCATATTATTTATAATCTAGCATATTATAAGTTGGGAACAGGGACTCAGTTTAAAGGATAATGTATTAAAGTGTAGAATAATAATTCTGGACTTAGGGAGTTAAATGACAATGAAGAGCTAATTATGGAAGAGCCAAATGGTTTGAGGATCCTAAAGTAGTCAAGGGGCACACATGCATGCACAAGTATGTACACACACACACACACACACACCAGTCAAATAAATATACACACACTATATAGTTGTATATAGTACACATGGATATAGATGGATAGATAGATAGATGATAGATAGATAGATATACATATATGTTTGTTTACAGTCTTGGTGATTATGAGAACGAGACAATGCAAATAAGAAAGACAATAAGAACAGGGAGAAGCAGTTGTGGTAGGGGATGGCACTGGCTTGGTTTTAAGTGTTTAAATATAAAGGTTCCCCATTTTTTTCTGGTGTTAAGAGGATTACAAACTAGACTTTCTGGTTCTCAAGTGACCTTTTTATTTGGAAATTTTTTCTCAGAGAATAATTAGGGACAAGGTAACTTCAGTTTAATACAGTTTACACAATGGTTCTGTTTCACTTGTTTGTTCACATGTGAATAATTATCTGCATCTCTACATCTCGTGCCTGTTAGAAATTGTAGTTTCAATTACATTTGATCATATGTATTAAGTGTAAACCTATGGTGTGAGCAGTGACAAAGACAGAGTGCCTAACCACCTCTATTTGAAGTCCCCTAGGATCCGGGTTAATTAATGAGACTCATCCTAAGGTTATACATGATCTATTACTTCCTCTAATTAGAAATAATAATCCTGATCATTATGCTGGTTAGCTGGAAAGAAGTAAGATGAATGTGCTTAACTATGATTAATAGTCTTCTTTAAGCAGTGTAGATCTCCTGTCATGGACTTATATGCAAACCAGGCTGCAACTCAATGCTTTTTCATGATATACATTTTTTTAAAACTCACAGAAAAAATAATTTTCTGGCATATCTTTTTACCTTTCCTGACAAAGAACAACCATTTTATAATTTTAAAGTTGATTACCACAACAAAATTCATTTTTCTACCTCATATTAGTTGTCCAATAATTGATTCTTTTACCTTTTTTATATTTTCCTCAAAATTATGTGAATAGATATGTGTATCACAGTTTAGTCCATACTGCTGAGGTGAAATAGACTGCTGCACATGATTATAAACCAACAGTTATCATTCAAAAAAATTATGACGATAATAATCATGGTATTTATTTAACGCTGTTTTATAAGGGCTGATGTCTACCCTATGCTTACTAACAACTTTCCCAGATAAATTCATATGCAAAAGAAAGTTATGAAAAGTTATTATCTGGTTTGAGAGATGCAATATGCTCAAAGAGAAAGGCAGGTGGTCAGAAAGGTAGCATTTATATACCTGTTAAACTTTTTTAAACAAGGAGACCGGGTATTCTAAGAGTAAGACATAATACACTCTGAGCCAGATGGTGGTCCTTATTCGACTTTGGCTTTACAAACTAACTGTGAGGCCCTGGGAATAACTTTACCTTTGAACATTTTGAAAGTGGTGAAAATAATGATGACATTTGTCATATGATTATTGAGAGAATTAAGAATATTTATCTCCTATGTTTATTGAGAGGATTCATTTACTTAATAGGCATAAAATACTATCATGGTGTCTAGCAAATGGTACATGTTTCCCTTTCATGTTGAAAAATGTCTAGCCATGTGTGAAATGTACTTGAATTTCAAAATTAATTTTCTTTTCTGATATTTTCACCACTGGAACTCAGAGTGACTAAAGATTTAACTAATCAATATTTGTAACTGAAGTACTAAATTTATCAATGTTGGGTTTTTTTTCACTAAAAATTTTACAGGACCACTTAAATTATTTTGCCATCTTTTTTTTTTTTTTGGCTATCAAGGTAGATAGACTTCATATCTGAGTCTGTCAATGAGATTGCTAAACATACAGAGACGACTACCAAAAGTGTAGGTCCTGATTTATTCTTTTGATAATTAATTTCTAAACTTTCTAACCAGTATAATAATTTTATCATTTAGAATTTTCTCTTTTTATATTTGAGTTTAATAATTATTTAAAAAATTTCTATTCACAATGTGTTTTATTAGATCAGAACAAATCATTAATCTGGTTATTAATATTTAAGCAATTATTATTAAATTTTCAATGAGATATTGAAAATGAGGAAACATGCATTTAGGCAACTACTATGTGCTCTGAACGCTGCTTCCAAATTAAGGGATATAAAACACATAATCCATCATATCACAGATAAAATACTAAATGAAAAATAAAAATACAAAATTACGTATATTGAAGGCAAGTATGTGATAAAATATATTTTTGTTTGGTAAGTGGTTGGTAAATTTTCCCAGAGAACATGAAACTTGAAGCATATTGATAAAGAAAGGAAATGAAAAGTAGAAGAGAGAAACATATAGGCAAAAAAGCAAAAAGCAAAAATGAACTCACAATTTCTTTAATACGGCCAACTTCACCGAATGTTTTTATGTTGGAGTGAGGGACAGAGGCAAATAAATACAATACATACAATCTACAGAATGTCTTATAATGCAGACTGAAAGAAATCTTACTCCTGATGTCAGAGATCCTAGGGATATTAAAGGTTTTTAAAGTACTAAAACATGATTTTGAGCTACTTGTGTTTACTTAAACTAGAAATATATATGGGCTTTCAATTTTGAATTTAAACTTCAGAAGATACAGATAAATCATAATAAATCCTTTATTTTATTATTTACTTAGGAACAAAAGTATCCACACACGAAATTCATTTTATTTTTTCCTTGACATTTTTTGCCACCAAAATGACTCTTTCAAATATATAAACAATATATAGGAAGAAAGTAAACTTGTAAATAAATAATATGTATGCATATAAAAATGTGTATATTTAGTGATATTTGCAAAACCTTCAGATTGACAAAAGATCTCTTACCAACTTGAGTTCAAATGCAGAGAACATCAGAAGTGATTAATATAACTGGAGTGGGACTCTGTCAATCAAATATAAAACTGACATTTTGCTAAAGTAATAAAGATCTTTCCGAAGTCCTCTGCTAAGCTAATCTGCACATTAAATGAATGTGTTGCTAGCTGGACATATGTGTGCAAGAGCATAGAAATTACAAACGTGAAAACTACTCAAATTTGGATTTAAAAAGTCATACCTGTAGGCCTTGCCCATCCACCGTCACGGAGTTGGCTCTTTGCATTTTGTTCTTATCTGTCACTTTGTTTGATTGCTGGGAACCACCTTTTTCCTTTTTCACTGTTGCTTGTCTTTCCTATAAGGAGGAAATCTTTTGTTAAGAATGTTGTTTTACTAAAAAGGCCAACACAAAGAAAACTTTTGTGGCTACACACTTGGGCCCACATTCCTAATTTGGAGTTCCTAGTGAATACTAAGAATGCTGTTGCCTTTCTACTGGCTTAGTCCATGTGATAGATGCATAATAAAAATACCAGTTAAAGAGACTATGAGAAAGAAAACCAGATGGCATTCCCCCTATGTGCCCAACTAGGACTGTTCATCAGAAGTCTCAAGGACCACTAAGGCTAATCATTTTCATAAGGAATGGTAGAAATAAATAATATAGAGTTACAAAAAATTATTGAGCACTAAAAAATAATGCTTATAAATACAGGTAATATCAAAAATGTATACATGATGAACTTCTAAGCTGCTACTTATATCCAGGATGGCATAAAATTTAAAACACACATTCCACCCCAGCTAATTCTTTTGCTCACCATAGTGGAAACACTGCTTGTAGTTGTCCGCTTCCTGTTTCTATTTTCCCTTCCTCTCACTCTCTCTTCGACCCAACCCCAAAGCTTTTTTCACCATTAATCCACCACATCTGCTCTTCTTAAAATCATCAATGACCTACTCATTGTCACACCTATTGGTCCGCCTTCCTCTTTTCCACTTTTTAGCAGCATTTGACAGAACTGAGCTCTTCCTCCCTCCTGAACACTTGCTGGGCTTCTGAACACATCTTTCTCTTACTTTAGCTCTCTTCTTACTTGACGAACTGCTTCCTCAGAGGCTCTTCCATTGTTCCTCCTCCAAATTTACAGACCATAACATTTAACCTCTTCCTTGAACGTCTCAACTTCACCGTCTACACTCACTCCCTAGGTAGCTTCATTAAATCCCAAGGCTCTGAATTTCAACTTCATGAGGAGGACTTCTAAAGCTATAGTTCCTGTTCAGATTTCTCCCCTGAACTTTAACTCCTACATACAAATGCCCTTTCTATCTTTCCATGTGTCTAAAACATACATTGATCCTAAAATATCCAAAACTTTTTTTTCCCTTTCATTTCCTGCCTATCCTCCTTGAAAACAAGTCCCAAACTGGATGATGACTCACCACTTCCACCATTACATACTTTAGGCCTATTTTCTTCTTTGCCTGGGTCATTGCAGCCCTCAGCTAATGGGTCAATCTGCTTCCATCTTTGTCTCCCTACAGTAGGTTCTCTATACAACAGCTACGCTCATCTTATTTCACTCCACTCCAGCTACTCCCACCTCCTCATTATTCCTTGATCACAAGTATGCTCTTAATTCAGAACTTTTGCAATCACTCTTCACTCTGCTGGAAAGCTCTTTTCTGCATATTTGTTGGGCTTGCTCCTCACTTCCTTCAGATTTCTGTTCAAATGTCAGGTAGGCTTCTCTATTCCCTTTAGCCTCCTTTTATAGAAACATAAAAATATACTTATACATATAATTACATATTATCTATATGTAATATAGATACAATTTGTTACAACCTGAAATGTTTTTCATTTAATTAGTTTCATACTGGTCTTTCCCCACTTTAGTCAAAGCTCCATAAGAGAAAGTCCTTTGTTTGCTTCACTGTTGTACGTCAGATCCTAAATCAGTGCCTGACAAAAGTCAGGATAAAGGAATGGAGAAATAAATGAATCAACATTAAAAAAAATTTAAGTGCCTGAAATATTGTACTGAGAGGGAATCTTGGGTCATGTCTAGGCTTGGTATGAAAAGTTGTTCTGATCTAATAGCACTGTCTTCCCTGTGTGCTTAAATACTTGAGTGAATATATTTTCTGGTCCCTATATTTGCTTTATAGAGCATCATTTCACTTTCAGTCATTTTGGAACATATTTTAACTGGACTTGAAAGCAAAGCTCTTTTTTTCTAAGTGGGCTGGCTCTACGCCCAGCTGTGGAGCCCAACACCAGGCTTGAACTCACACCCTGAGGTATCAGGCGTTGGACGCCTAACCAACTGAGCCACTGAGGTGCCCCCAAATAAAGCTCTTTTTAACTATATTAGGATCAGATGGATCAGAAAATTTCTCAGACCCAAATAGATGCTAAACAGTATAGTCCATTTACCTTGCAATTTCAGGGTGTACAATCACTGACTATATTTTTGTGTGGTTAAAAATGGATGGTGTAATAGGATTCCTGAAATTCACATTCTTTGGAAAATGATATACTTTCATATAAGTATAATTTCTGGCAAAAAATATTGATTTTTTAAAGATAGATATTTCTTTCTAAACTTGCAAATTATAATTTTATCCATAGAGAGTTAAGAGTATAATGCATAGAAAGAGTGGATTATAGGATGAGGTTTGGAAGTCAGAAAGCCAGAGCTGAATCCCATCTCTGCTACTTAAATATTATGTAATCTTAGAGAACTTAAACTCCTATTCAAAATGGAGTTAGTAATACCTATTTCTCAGAGTTGTGTAAGGTTTAAGAGAAAATACATAAATTCCTAACATTGTCCTGTATTAGAATATGTGCTCAATAAATGAAAGTTATTATGAATAACAAAGTGTGGCTCTCCCTTTAGGGTGCTCATTAGTACTACAATTATGCAAAGTGTTTATTATATTTCCAAGTGCATGTATATGAAAAAATTACACTTAGTTACACTTAAGTATATGTTGAAATAAGTAGGGCTCAATGTTTACAACTGAAAATCCATAGCTTGCATTAAGAGTTCAAAAATGTAATACTGGTGGAAAGTAAGGGAATAATTTCTTTCTGGATTCTGCATGCAGGTATATACGACATGGCAACAATACTAAAATCTACAGTGTAGAAGATATACATTATCTTATGTACCTTATATTCTATCATACCTTATATACCTTGTAGTCTGCCATATAATCCAACAATTGCTATTTGGCATTTAATTCCTAAAATGTTTAGTTTACAAGAATTAAGTGTAATTTACGTTGGTTGGTCACATTGGAACTGGGTATTTATGACAAAACTATTTATATTTGTAGTGTTGGAAGTTTAACACATGTTAAGTGTATGTCTGTAAAGAGCTACCACATCATCTATGAACATGATTTTATTCTTAGCTATGCTCATAGCTACAGGAATTCCTTTGCTGGTAAGAATCTCCAACTAGCAGAAAGCAGTTGATTAAGTAGCTTCAGGTTTCTTCAGGGAGTCACCTTTCTGAGTAAATTGGAGTTGAAACAAATGCTTTATAGAAGCCTTTGTAAAATATAAAAACAAAATTTTAGGGGCGCCTGGGTGGCTCAGTCGTTAAGCGTCTGCCTTCGGCTCAGGTCATGATCCCAGGATCCTGGGATCGAGCCCCGCATCAGGCTCCGGGCTCAGCGGGAAGCCTGCTTCTCCCTCTCCCACTCCCCCTGCTTGTGTTTGCTCTCTCGCTGTGTCTCTCTCTGTCAGATAAATAAATAAAAACTTTAAGAAAAATTTAAAAAAAATTAAATCCTAAATTGAATGTTCAACTAAGGCATTATTTTTGAAATCTTAAATTATAAGAAAAGGTATATAACAAGTTAACAGAAAAATCCTCGGTCTATCCTGAAGTTGTCAAAGAGCTTCATGAAGAACTCACTGACCTGATTTTGCATCATTATTAAGGATACAATTGCTCTCTGGTAACAGGGGGCAGTGCTCACCACGTCACCTTCCGGTTTTTTGTTTTTTTAAGTGTTTGGGCTCTAAACCACAAAATAAATGTGTGAATTTTATTATATAATTTAGATAATACTAAAATAGTAAACATTTGTTTAAACACACACACACACACACACACACACACACACACACACACACACACA